CGCAGTGTCGTTGAGCCCCGCTCCGCCTCCGAGCCGCCCCCAGAGTGCGCACGCGCGTCCCCCTCCACCCGCGGCGCCGCGCTGGGCGTCCCCACGCAGCCTGTCCCGGCTGCGGGGGAGGCGCCGCCAGCCTCGAGTACCCGGGCCCGGGGCCCTGGCCGCCTCACCCCATGCCCAGTCACGCCCGAGGTTCCGAACCCCTTCGGTCTCCTTTCCTGACTCCCTCCCCACCCTCGCCCCAGCCCGGCCGATTTACCTGAGGGCGGGGGCTTGGTGGAACAACGCCCCGCTCACCGCGTCCAGCCCGGAGTCACGGGAACGGCAGAGACCCGGACCAGACTCCCCCGCAGTCCTCGGGCTCCCCGGCCCGGCTGTAAGACTGGGCCCGAGACGAGGAAGTGCCGGGGGCCGGGCCGCCCCACCCCTGGGAAAGTCCCCGGCGACTGACAGGCAGCTCGCCCAATCGCGCTGCGCGCTCGGCGGGCCGCGGCCCCCGGGGGTGGGGCGGAGCGAGGTAAACAGCCACCGCGGGTTCCGAGGGACTTCAGATCCCGCGGGGTGGCTGCGGGGATCCCTGGCGCCTGGCTAGCCTTTCCGCTGCTGCTGCGGCCTTCCCGCCTCAGGCACTGCGTCCTAGCCTCCGAGCCATGCCGGTCCCGACCTCCCTTCCTGAGCCCCTCGGTCCTCCATCTGTGCAGGCCCTTGCAGCATTCCCCCAACCAGAGGCACCGGGCCCAAGTCTGGGCCCACCTTATATGCAGAATGTCTGCGCCGAGGCGAGTGCGGAGACCATTCTTGTGCCTAGATGGGCATTGGCCAGAGCGGGGAGGGACTTGCCAAAAGGCACGCGAGCGTTTGGAGCTAAGCCAGAGCTGGTGCTCCTAGGTGCGGAGTTCGGTATAGGGCGCTCCTGGACACTGCAAGGCTGTGGAATTCCAAGCTTACAAGACTCAAAGAACCTATTGTTACTGCTGACATTTCGCACACCTACAGCTCCAGACATTGTAAACACTTTGTGTGAGTCACTTTTATTCACACAACCACCCTAGGAGGTGGGTTTTATCTGCCTCCACCCCTTTAACCATAAATAACAACGTAGAGAGATCAGATAACCTCAATAAGGGACTGAACGAAGATTTAAACCCAGGGGGACAAATCCAGCCTTCTACCCTATCTACCTGTAGGTGGGCTAAGTAATCCCAGGAGTGGTGGTTAAGGCATTGGACACTCCCACATGGGTGACCACGGTTCAAGTCTTGGACCTGGTGGCTTGCTTTCTCACTTCTTTCTCTTTCTGTCTCTCTCTCTAGTCAAATTAAAATAAATAAATAAATAAGTTAAAAATTAAAAAAAAAAATTCTTAAAAAAAAAGTTTTTAAAAAAAGAAAAACCTGTCGGGAACCAGCAGTTAGCGTAATGGCTATGTCGCTGCG